AAAAAAAAAAAAAAAAAAAGTTATGTTGAAAGATTTATACAGAAAGAGATGGAAAGTCAAATTTGTGTTTTGAGAGATGCCAGTTTTGGAAGAATACAGAACTTCACACCTACCTCCCTGAGCACAGGATCAGTGATACTGTCCAGATTCACCGAGCCTTCATAGGTCAAGTAGTGGAAAACGTTCAGAGCTCGGACTGCTTCTGGTCCTCGCTGTTTATAGCCAAATATAAGATCAATCCACTGATGCAGCTGGCAAGAAACAAATTCACTCTCCAGGGCCTAAAATGAGTCAAGAAAGAAATGAGAGTCTGTCCAAACTTAGCAGCTCCTTGTTTCTGTATTACAATGAAATATTCTAGACAAATAAGAACATGTTCTTTACATTCATCAATTTGGTTTCTGTGAAGTACGTATTCAGTTCTTAGAAATTGCAAAATACAATGTCTTATAAGACAAAGATCTAAAATGAAAAATTTCTCTTTTTAAAATGCTTAATTTTCTCTTGGCTTCATCATGTATATATGTGAATTTTAATACCGAAATAGATATCTTTCAAAAACACATTTAAAAGAAAACTAATTTGAAATAGCTATCTTAATGCCATTTTATAATAATTTCTGATTTTTAAACAATACTTTGAAATTAAACATATATTTATTTTCCCGCCTAAGGTCCTCCGGTTCACCTCTAAGATGAATTAACTCATCTATTATGAGTTTGGGAATCACTGGGCAATTTGGGATACTTGTTAGTGAGTAAGAAAAATGATAAATTACTGAGAGCCAAGAACCAACGACTATGCGAAGCTTCTACAAAGAGTAAGAAGAAAAGAAGGCCCTTTTGTTTCCTAGGAAGCCATCAGAAGCTTCCTAGAGGCACCTTAACAGGTGGGAGGAAGTCCTACTCAGGCTCATGTGGTGAGCAGTGGTAGTGCATGGCTTAGCTTGCTCTGCCTCTCACTTTACTGCATTCTTGCATCATCGGTTCTTATTGATTTTGAAAACACGAACAGAAAGTTGTATATCTAGCTTCCTCAATTTCAGCTGTGCATAGATATATACAACAATTCTCTAAACTATAACTATTACTAAGTATATGAACAAAGCCATTCTCTGGCTATATGTTTCTGGTTTCCAAGGTGTTGTAACCAATTTGGAATACATTTAATTAATAAATGAATTTTAAATTAACCATCTCAAAACTGCATTTCATTAAAAATATGCAAAGTATTCTGAATGATACTTTTCAACTTTTCTTATTATTACATTTAACTAAACAGAATTTCTATACACTTCATCTCACCAATCTTAAAATAATTGTTCAGGAAAGAATATAGGAAATGAAACAAAAATACAATCAGAGGAATATTTTAAAGTTATGCATTGGTTATGTCTACAATATTGGTTTGGTCAACTTGTATAAATTATTTTGTCCAGTATAGTCAATTGAGAAAAAAAATCAGTTTAATAATTAGTAATAGTTTCAGTGCGAGGTACAAAAGGATAAAAAATGAATAAATGTATGCTCATTATTGAATAGCTATTAATCAATCTATTCACAGGAATTGAAAATAGTTGTAGAATTACTATTTACCAACATGCTTGGCTAGGCAACAACTATTTGAAATAAATGTTATAGATATCACTAAAGAAAAGATTGATAAATTTACTATTATTCTGTTAGAATAAAATGCCTAGTGTAATCATGAGAGAATCATGACTTTTCATTATTTTGAGGTTTTAAAATGTTTTTAGTCCCAATTATCCTTCTATCTCAACTCCCTACTTCTACTTCTTTCCTACCCCATAAGTAACAGCTTGTGTGTGTGTGTGTGTGTGTGTGTGTGTGTGTGTGTGTGTGTGTGAGAGAGAGAGAGACAGAGAGAGAGAGAGAGAGAGATCTATGAACAGGGTCTAGTGTCCATGGCTATTTAATTTTTGTGAATATCTCCTTGGGATTTATATTATGGAGTAGGACTGACCGTGTATATATTCCATCTGAGTCATTAGTGCTGCTCTTCACAGTAACTGCTCTGGCCCCACTTCCTCCACTAGTACATGAAGTTTTCATATGTCCACATTTCCAATGACTCATAATATTTTTCTAATTTTGGTCAGCGTAATAGATACAAAATAATTTCGTGTTGTTGTTTTAACTTGTATTTCTATTATTACTAGGAAATCTGACATTTTTTAAAATATGTCTAGTTTTTAAGATTTCCTTTTCTATAAATTTCCTGTTCATGCTCTCTGCCCATTTTTTATAGTGGTTTATGTCTTTGTGTTGTTGATTTGCAAAAGTTCTTTAAATATTTTAGATAACAGGTCCTTTTGGTTTAAAACATTGTAAATGGATTCTCTTACATGTCATATGTTTGTTAATTTTATGTTCTTAGTTGAATAGAAATTACTGATTTTGAAATAACTGAATCTTTTTTTAAATGTTTATGTTCTTAAGATTTTGTTTTGATGTTTTTGTCAATTAGCTTTACACTTATGGTTTTTTACTTTTTCATTTGTCTTTAATCCATCTACAGTCTACTTTCATTTATATATGGCATTAGATTATTTTTTATATAGTTAAGATAGTTTTCCAATACTCTCTATTAAATAAACATTCCTGGAGGTGTGGCTCAAGTGGTAGAGCACCTGCTTTGCAAGTGTGAAGACCTGACTTTAAACCCCAGTACCGCCAAAATAATAAGTAAGTAAGTAAATAAATAAATAAACACTCCTTTCCTCAGTGATGAGTTGGTGTCACCTTTAGTGGGTGACTATATATTTGAGTATATATTTAAACATATATTTACAGATAGAATGATTATCTACAAAAAGACCAGCTCTTCTTTTTTCCTTCTCTTTCTTCTATGTATTTATGTATCTATCTAGACATGTGCAAATGTCTCGCTTTCTACACTCTTTATTTCCATTACTTTCTTAATTACATTTGTTTCATATATATGTTAATACCTGGTACAATTTATTCTTCCTTTTTCAGGATTAACTACGCTACTCATGGTCTTTATTCTTTTCATGTAACTTTTACAGTAGTGAATAGATATATCAAAATAATTTAACTGAGACACCAATCAATTCATAAATTAACTTAGGAACACTGACGTTAGGTTTTTCTACCAGCGGTCCCAAAACGTTTCTATAAAGATCATTTCCTATGTCCTATATTAGAGTGAAGATTTACAAGTTTTTCCATAAAACTTTTATTTTTGTTTAAGTTTTTTTCCTAAGGTCATAAATTTAATGCATCTTAAAAATTACATTTTATATTTGGTTATGAATCATATAAAATTGCTATTGATTTCTATCAGTTGATTTTGTGTCTGGTAAATATGGCTTTTTTTTTTCTAATGGAATTGTTCTTAACTTTAATAGCAGTGGTGATATGGACCATCCTTTTTCCTGATTTTAAAGGGATAAACCCTTAGTCTTAATGCAACACACACACACACTTATGTTTAATACACTGATATTTTACTTAGAATTTTTGTATTATAGTCAAACATGAAATGGGTCATTTCTCTTTTTTATTTGTCCTCCTTTAACTACTTTTGGAATCAAGATCCCACTAGTATCATAAAGTGAGCTGGATGGCTTCTTTTATTTTCTGAACAACTTGCCTAAGAAATGAATTCATTATCTCTTAAAAATCTTAGTGGAATTCACCTAAAAATAAATGTATGGCTTGGATTTTCTAGGACTATGGGAAAACTTTACTGAATTTCTTGAGGGCTTATAAATCCTCGATTTTGGTTTTTCACATTTTGCTCAGTATTCATTCATTTCATCTTAGCTCATAGTTCTTCAACATAATCTCTAATTAAACTTAAAATCATATATATCTATATAGTTATTTACCTTATTCTAGTCTATTTATTAGAGAAGCAGCATGGTGAATTAATTGATAATTGTGGTCAAATAGTTCTGTACAGTTTTTTCTTTTTGTTTATAAAGTTAAATGACAAAGAAACAAAAAGGTAGGAGCTAAACTGATAAAGTCTAATAGGTTTTCTGTCCTTCCAGTCACTGTGTAGAAAACAAAATCCAATTTAGAACACTAAAAAACTAAATCTGATTCAAAGTCAAATGCATTTCTAAGAATTGAATATTAGCTATCAGAAATAAAGTATAAGAACCTACCTGACCCTGACATCTGACACCATGGTTCTTTACTGTACGATAGTACTAATCTGTTGTTAAATACATGACATCTGCTTATGAGTTTTTTCATAGCTCTGTTTTCATGCACAAAATCACTTTGGTCTGAAAATTTTAGTACAATATGTTTGAAAAATATACAGAATTCTTGATTACTGAGCTATTATTGTTATAATGATCTTAATAGCTTTCTTTACCATCTACTTGCATATCTAAAGGCAGAAGTAATTGCTTTAAGCCTAGATAAACCAATTCCCAATCCATAAGTCTACCCTGGGGACCTGAGAGGAAGAAAGTAGAGAGTGTTCCTGAAACCAGAGAGGCTATCTCTTAGATAGACAAAACTTACCTAATTCTAATTTCCATTTTGTCCAATGGGTATTAGATGGTAGAAAATTCTTTCTCTAATAGATCTGAGATAAAGCCTCTCTGAAACTTATGAAAAAGGAAAATAGGCTGCTGAAATTAACAATAAGGAATGATTTATTCTATCTGAATTCATTATGTGAGTTTTCAATTCCTATCTCTTTTAGATTACAGCAAAAAATATTTCCATATTTTTCTCTATTACTTCAAAAACTTGCTTTTGGTAATAAAAAAATTCTCCAAATGGAGTTACATGTATTCAAATGGATATTTCCACCTTTATAATGCCTATGCCAGTGTTTTTTTTTCATAAACAAACTGAAGTTCTAGTTACTACAATTTCAATTATTCAATTGTTTTAAGTCAATAAACATAGTTGTTGTAAATGCTTATGGATGGTTAAATTATCTCATTACTTGATAGATTACTCATTGTATAATACACAAGATTATTTTCTAACCCTCATTACTCTCCAGATGAGCTACTACAATAGACTTTGACCTTTTTCTGTAATTCAAGGCTGGCAGAGCAGACTTCGGAAGCCACCATGCTCACATTGCGACCTCTATTTCATACCTCTCAAGATTTCTCCTGGCCTAACACTATCACCATAAGCTGCGTCAAGCCTTTCGAACCGTGATCCTACCCATACTCCCCCTGTTTCTCATGGCTTCCTGATATATATCCTGCCTCCAGAAGCACAGGAGGAGGACATAGTACTTGGGCACGTAGCCTTTGGTG